ACTTCATTTTATAAGCAAGACTTAATTCATTCAAAATTATTTTTGAAAAGGCAATTGCATGAAATAATTAGATTAAAATTGAATAAAAACATTGCCATTTTAATCGATTTTTTAATCAGAAAAACTAAACTAGAATCAGACTTTTTTTCTTTTTTTGGCACAGGGCAAAAATGTTTGCTCTGCCCTGACTCAGGGCAGGGCAGCCCTGCCCTGTGACGGTCTCTATTCGCTAGTCGAAAATGTTGAAATACACTTTTTTCGACAAATTCATATGATTGGAAGGAGCTTTTTGCTATAGATTGTTTCGCCATTCTTACCTTCGACATTTTTTGATTCGCTATTTTTTCCCCGCAATTTTCTTTCCGGATATTATTTTTTTCGCTATTCTTTCGTTCGGCCAAGTTAATATCATTCGATGAAGTAAAAGAGCTGATTCCAATAAATTTTTGAAGATTTTTATTGAAAAAATAAATAACTCAAAAATATACCAGATGATCTAGGTTAATTAAGAATGATAAGTAAAAATTATAAATCGAAAGCAAATAAAGAAATAATATCAAATACCTAACTCTATCAGAGTAAAAGGTGTGAGTGTCCACGGAAAAATTTTCGAACAAAAACCGAAACAAACCGCGGCCTGTGGAAACGCGGTAATCGACGGTTTTTCTAGGTGTTTCTGCATCAGAAGTTCTGGCTTAGGGTGCCTACATTCACCTGAATCTTTCTCAAAGTCCAGGCGAGCTGCTCTTCAGCCGGTGATGCAGTAAACTTTCCAAGTTCCATTACCACAAAGTCGCTTTGCAGTGAGAGAAACAATCCGTTTGGAAATTTCTCAAAAACATGTGGGCAAGATAATCTCTCTGTCCTTACACATTTCATTACGCTTCAATATATACTAGACGTACCACAGCCCTCAGTAGGCATACCGCAATTTCTTAGAGGAAGGCCGCTGTGGAAAGAAACAAAAAATGCAACTTTCAGCGGTTTTTGTGAAAAAATTTTCCCCGTAGATATAGTCTTTTTCTATTCCAATACACCACCCACAATCTATCACAAATCGCAATGAATAGAGAAATAATAATTCGGAAGCGAGACTCGACATTACTAACATTTCGCCTGATACAATAATCCAAGTTTTTTGTTGTTTATAAAACCATTAGACACCACAGTATCCCACACTGCGGTTATCAGCGATTTTTTCAAAAAAATTCTTCCGTGGACAGTGAGACTCCCGTTGTGTCCGAAACCGGTGGATACCGCAATGTTTAATACCGCTATTCGAAAACGGGGTTATAGTGGTTTTTCTGAACAAATTTTTCTGTGGGTACAATATAGAAATTAATTCATCATTTGCAAATTCTAACTCTCCATAGTCGATTATCCGTGAGATATCAAATATATACATTCGTTTATCTTCTTCTATTAATAAAAAGAAAAAACAATGCTGAGTCAACTAGAAGATGTGCTTAACATATTTTTAAGAACTGAATTTGTTAGGATTCTGTATGTCATTTAACAGAAAGAAATACTACAAAGTATGATTTAATAACTTATTTTTTATTAAAAAAAAAGGAATTAAAAGAAACTAATTGAATAAATGAGAAAACTAGCTTTATCAACGCTGTACATTTACTAATCAAGAACTTTTTTAGAGTCAAATGATGCAATTTAAGATGAAAAGAACGATGGTAATTTTAGACTTTTATCAAACAGCACACATATTATAATTTTTTTTAAAAGTTTTGTATTGTTTAAATATGAATTTTTCTATAGTCTACGGAAATAAATGTACGATGATAAATAATTAAGATACCAGAAGCATTTTTATATTAATACATAAATTTAAAAAAAAAATTTATTAACTAAATATGCGTCGAACAGAAAAAGTAAGAGAATACAGCAAAAGTATATAACGTACAGATAACAATAATGTTTATAATATACGACGAGAACCAGCTTGTAGATAAATTAATCATTGCCATGAACGACTTTATTTTGATAGCTAACGCACAAATATTGAACACAAATCAGCAGACAACCGATCAAAGAACTGCACAAAAATAAAATAAAATAGAACGAGGATGTTCTATTTTATTAGAAAAAATTTATTTCTGATCTAACCGCTTTTAAAAGGTCAAACTCTTGTAAATTATTCATATGAAATACATCATTAAACAGCATCAAATACTGAAAATTTATTCTTTGCCTTGGTATGTTCATCATTAAGCCAAATGAAAAGTTCATCCACATGACCAAGTTCTTGTGTTCCAGATGATAAGGATTAAATAGTTATTGAAATTTGTTTCAAATGATGCTTGCGAAGCGTATTGAAGGCGATCGAAGAAACTCATATTTTCTTTTTTCGTATATTCGTAATTAAATCGTTCACGTTTATATTTCGGTGAATCATTCATTGACAAACATTCATCATTAGGTACTTAAATAAAAAGAAAAGATAAAGATGAAATAACAAATAGAAAAGAAATATCCAGAATAGAATAATTATGTATTCAGATATTCGATGTTATTAAATTATTTAATATTATATTTAAGAGATTTATTGATTTTTGGTGGATAAAAGCTTTTTGTTGTTCAGTATTTTGTTTATTAATATCTTAGATTGAAATGATTTTTCTTCAATAAAAGTAAACAATTAATTGACTAGTCATGATAAAAGACAAATATTGATCTTACAAGCAGATATCATTTTATATTATTTGACTATAAATAGATTATTATATATCAAAGTTCAAGCTTGAATTCAATTCTAAACTACGTGAATATTTTTGCGCTTCAAGTATTTGACTATTCAAGTATTCTTTTCTAGCTAAGAATGTCACAGAAAGCTATACCCACTGAGGATTTCTCTCGTTGACATGAATAATCAAATATTTGAATAGATGAATACTTGAATAATCGAATAGTTGAATTATTTAAGAGTATTGAAATAAAAATTAAAAATATAATAACAACAGTTGAATGTTATTTTATGCACCACGTGATATTTCGACATCTATTCTCAGACGCCATCATCAGACAGGTAGTTGATCTATTGCTAATGTTTATAGGTATTGTAGCTCATATGGTATAGTGTTAGTTTTATTTTCGAACGAATGTTTTTTTGATGAGCTAGGAGTTAGATTATATGGTTACTGGATTTTTATGTATTCATATGGTTAGGATTATCTGAATTGAATTATATGGCATGGTCATATTTTTGTCTTGTATATGTTTTTGAATTTAGAGAAGGTGAATAAGCGCTCATTGGTGAAATTTTAGTTTTATGTTTGAAGAAATAGGTATGTTTATGTTGACGCGAACATACGCAGATAGGATGAAGAAGAGAGGGTACGGATAAGCATATTTAGTCTTTATATTGTATCAGTGACTCATACTTTTTTCTGAGTATAATGGAGAGAGGTATAGATGGAAGTATGTGTTGTTTTTCAATTACTCATGATTCGTTATAGGGATGGTCGTATCAGAAGCAATTCGTTGTGTTTTGTTTTGCTTGTTGTTTTGTTCTATTCCATCGGCGTATATGTAGAGTGGTGTTGATCTGATTCCCTTATTCAGGTCTGGTTTTTTTTGTTTAATTAATAGAGATTCTTTGATGGAAAGTTTATATTTGTATCTCTCTTTTAGTCGAATAACGAAGTCATCATTGGAAAATGTATGGCCTGTCGTATAGTAATGTTTAGCTATGGCCGTTTTCGGTGCAGATTGTTTTGTTCGTTTTTCTAGTATTTCTGGATTTTTCACGAATTTGCCGATGTCTTCCTGAATGGATTCAATTCTTGTGGTTGGTAATTTCCCTGTTTGTGACCTAGTAATTGGTCCTTTTCGTTCGACAGGTGTTTTTATGGTGGATCTGGTTCGTTTGATGGTATGTTTCGATTTCTGAATTTTTTTTAAACATAATTGTTGCTTTTGATAATTGAGATGTTCGTGTACACGGGTTTTAAAATGGCGAAAAGTTTTACCGATGTAATGAAGTTCACATTCTGGACAAGTGGCTTCGTATACAACTCCTGCTTGCATCGGTTCGGGTATCTGATCTTTCAAAATAAAACCACTTCCTACACGTTCTTGCACGTCATATATCGGTCTAATGTGTTTTAGTGGGTAGTTCTTATTAGTAGCGGAGATAATCCGTTTTGCATACACTTGACTTAGTGGTCCGAAATAAGGTACGCGAAGAACAACGGTGTCAGTAGTGGGTGATGCTGCTGATATAGAAGTAGCAGGAGTGTACACAAGGTTAAGTTGACGTCTGATGATGAAATCTATGACGGAATTAGGATATCCGTTTCTAAGTGCTAATGATCGAATAAATTCGAATTCCCGATGTAAAGCTGCATATGACGAGCAGATCTTTATAGCTCTGTATACCTTAGTTGATAATGCGTTATACTTATAATTTTTCGGCACAAAACTATCCCATTTAGTAGTAAGACTGTTGAATGTAGGTTTTCGATAGACTCGGGTTTCGAAGCCTGCACCTGGTTGGCGTCGTACCAGGACATCGAGAAATGGTAGTACTTGTGGCTTGAGATCTTCTTTTTTTTCTTTTTGAACAGTAAATTTAATCGAAGGATGGTACTGTGATAGAGTATGACACACATCGTTAACAGAAAATTTCGGGTCGAATAAAACAAAAGTATCGTCCACGTAACGCTTCCAGTAAACAATACCCATATTTTCAGTAGACGATAAGTATTTTTTCTCGAAGTTCTGTAGAAAAATTTCAGCGAACAGCGGAGCTAAGGGAGACCCCATTGAAACTCCATCGATCTGATCATATAATTGTCCATTAAAGAGAAAATGAGATTTTTCTGTTGCTAAATCAAGTAACTCCTTCATATCTTCTCGACTAATCGTAGGAGGTTTAGCATGACCATCATATAAATGNCGAGTCGAGAATCACATGGAAGGTTTGATTTTATTTGAATATAAAATCTAGAAAAGTAATTGATTTAGTTTATTATTTTAGTCATGCAATGTTAGCTGTAGGTTATAGTGATCATTCACAAGCATTTATTGTTCGAAATTCATGGGGAGAAGAATGGGTAAATATGAATATGTTTTAAAGAAATATTAACATTTCGTTTGATGTTAGGGTGATGGAGGATATTGTTATATTCCATATGATTATCTGACTAATCCCGATTTTTCTTTCGATCCATGGACTGTTCGTAAATTGGAAACTGATGACATGGGTCATGAACATTGGGATGATGATGATTCAATTGATTATCAGGAAGAAGATGATGATGATGAAGAAGAAGAAGAAGAAGAAGAAGAAGAAGACGATGATGAGGGTGGTGAAATTGAAGAAGAAGAAGAAGACGAAGAAGATGAGGAAGATGAAGATGAAGAAGAAGAAGAGGAGGATGAAGACGAAGATAAAGATGATGAAGAAGACGAATAATAAATTTCGAATTATTTTGTTTTAGTTATTCTTATAACGAACTCATTTTAACAACAAATTTACATAAAAGAATCCTTTCTGCAATTACTTCAAAATTGTATATTAATAAAGGATTATTAAATACACAGTGAGCTTGATATTTCTTGGACGCAGGCAGCAAATACCTTGATTGAATGAAATATTAAAACAAACTTATAGCATGGCTCTCTGATTTTATTCTGTTAAAAAAATAAGTAGCAGAAATATTTACCAATAACAAGCTACAAGTTCTTGCAGAACTGATGTCTAGAAAAGCGTGGGCCCAGTAGTTTCTATTTATTAGAATGAAAGCAATATTAATGTTTAAGATTTCGATTAATCTGTCAAAAAACTGTTTCTTGTTTGAATCATCAATTTTATTCTCAAGTTCTTCGTCTTCTTCTTCCTCTTCAATTTCACCACCCTCATCATCGTCTTCTTCTTCTTCTTCTTCTTCTTCATCATCATCATCATCATCATCTTCTTCTTCCTGATAATCAATTGAATCATCATCATCCCAATGTTCATGACCCATGTCATCAGTTTCTAATTTACGAACAATCCATGGATCGAAAAAAAAATCTGAATTAGTCAGATAATCATATGGAATATAACAATATCCTCCATCACCCTAACATCAAACGAAATGTTAACATTTCTTTAAAAGACATTCGTATTTACCCATTCTTCTCCCCATGAATTTCGAACAATAAATGCTTGTGAATGATCACTATAACCTACAGCTAACATTGCATGACTAAAATAATAAATTAAATCAATTACTTTTCTAGATTTTATATTCAAATAAAATCAAACCTTCCATGTGATTCTCGACTCGTTTCTCCTGATTTTGGTATTGGTACAATGCCTTTTTTAGCTGCTTTATCAAATGAATTATATAATTCTAAGCCAAATACAAATGGATAACCTTGTGCAAGACATGATTTCATTTCATATAAATTTATTTTAACTTGTAATGCATCAGTTATTCTATTATTTGCTGCTGCTTCATATGCTTCATCAATCAGACATTTATTTACACGTTTTTTACAATATGGCCAAACTGATTCGAGACAAGTACCAGATTCTTCTAATGCTTCAATAGCACTTGATACACTACAACCTGAATCGTTGATATTTTCATCTGATTCTTCATCTTTAACACGAGCATTGTAATAAATAAATAATCGACTTACATCAATCTCATGACCACTACTTTTCTTTAGCAAATATTCATAAGCTCCTATAATCAAACATTTATGAAATCAACCAAAAATTATACATGATTTTTTTACCAGCAAAAGCATTCGCTACACTAAATCAATAGAAATTACATATATTTAATAATTAGAAATCATATGAAATATTGTATGCATACCAACTACCAATACTTGATTGATCTTCAACAGGTGTCATTTGGAAGCGAAGATTAACTTTATGTGGAAGTTGTGAATTACTGAAACGTATATGATCAGAAAATTGTTGTTGTAATTTCGGTTTATGAGGCATACGTTGTGATGGTAGAATACCATTGAGATGACATTTTCGTCTAGCTGTTCGATTAGTTAAAAAATTTCGAATTGGCATCAAGAAATTTTGTATAATCACTCAAGAAAATATGTCGAGTATTTACTGTGCAACACATTAATTTGCAATACAATTACACATATATGTTTGTTTTTTCGTCACTTATGTAAAATAATTATTTTTTACACGCATCGATTGACTAATGAGGGAATATAGACCTTTCAAAAGCATGTATTTTTTTATTTTGCTTTTATTAATAGAAATATTAGTAATACGCACATCAACGAACGTTGAATATAGAAAACACACTGAAACCGAACTGAGATTTTTTTGAAAAGAAGTCCAATCGAATGTAACTGTCATTATTTGACTCAGCAGTAATGCTTTCATTAAGTTTCCAACATGGGTAATAAATAAATATTCAAATGAATGGACAAAATAATATATTGAAAAATAAAAATAAAAAATATGATAACAACAGTTGAATGTTATTTTATGCACCACGTAATATTTCGGCATCTATTCTCAGACGCCATCATCAGACAGGTAGGTGATTTATTTTTAATGTATATATGTATTGTATCTGACGACATGCTATTGTGTTAGTTTAATTTTCGAACGAATATTTAAGTGATGAGGTAGGAATTAAATTATATGGTGACTACATTTTATATGTTTATGTGGTTAGGATTGTCTGAGTTGAATTTTATAGCATGGTGGGATTTTGGTCTTGTATAATTTATTCAAATTAGAGAAGGTGAGTTAGCGCTACTTGGTGAAGTTCCAGTTTGGTGTTTGAAGAAATAAGAATGGTCCGTTGACGCGAACATACCAGATAGGATGAGGAAGATAGAGTACGGATGGGCATATGTAGTCTTTATATCGTATTAGTGACTCATACTTTTTTCTGGTCATAATGGAGTGAGATATAGATGGAAGTGCGTGTGTTTTTTTCAATTACTCATGATTCGTTATAGGGATGGTCGTATCAGTAGCGATTCGTTGTGTTTTGTTTTGTTTGTTGGTTCGTTCTATTCCATCTGCGTATATGTAGAGTGGTGTTGATCTGATTCCCTTATTCAGGTCTGGTTTTTTTGTTTAATTAATAGAGATTCTTTGATGGATAGTTTATATTTGTATCTCTCTTTTAGTAGAATAACGAAGTCATTATTTGAAAATGTATGGCCTGTCGTGTAGTAATGTTTAGCTATGGCCGTTTTCGGTGTAGATTGTTTTGTTCGTTTTTCTAGTATTTCTGGATTTTTCACGAATTTGCCGATGTCTTCCTGAATGGATTCTATTCTTGTGGTTGGTAATTTCCCTGTTTGTGACCTAGTAATTGGTCCTTTTCGTTGGACAGGTGTTTTTATGGTGGGTCTGGTTCGTTTGATGGTATGTTTCGATTTCTGAATTTTTTTTAAACATAATTGTTGCTTTTGATAATTGAGATGCTCGTGTACACGTGTTTTAAAATGGCGAAAAGTTTTACCGATGTAATGAAGTGCACATTCTGGACAAGTGGCTTCGTATACAACTCCTGCTTGCATCGGTTCGGGTATCTGATCTTTCAAAATAAAACCACTTCCTACACGTTTTTCCACGTCATATATGAGTCTAATATGTTTTAGTGGGTAGTTCTTATTAGTAGCGGAGATAACCCGTTTTGCATACACTCGACTTAGTGGTCCGAAATAAGGTACGCGAAGAACAACGGTATCAGTAGTGGGTGATGCTGCTGATATAGAAGTAGCAGGAGTGTACACAAGGTTAAGTTGACGTCTGATGATGAAATCGATGACGGAATTAGGATATCCGTTTCTAAGTGCCAATGATCGAATAAATTCGAATTCCTGATGTAAAGCGGCATATGACGAGCAGATCTTTATAGCTTTGTATACCTTAGTTGATAATGCGTTATACTTATAATTTTTCGGCACAAAACTATCCCATTTAGTAGTAAGACTGTTGAATGTAGGTTTTCGATAGATTCGGGTTTCGAAGCCTGCACCTGGTTGGCGTCGTACCAGGACATCGAGAAATGGTAGTACTTGTGGCTTGAGATCTTCTTTTTTTTCTTTTTGATCGTCTTTTTTTTCAGCGTCTTTTTTGCTCTTGCTGTCTTTGTCTTCTTTCTCTTCGCCATCTTTTTTTTCCTTTTTCTTTTTGTTCTTGTTCTTGTTCTTTCCCTTTCTTTTTTTCTTCTTTGCATTTTCATCTTTTTTTTCTTTTTCGACAGTAAATTTAATCGAAGGATGGTACTGTGATAGAGTATGACACACATCGTTAACAGAAAATTTCGGGTCGAATAAAACAAAAGTATCGTCCACGTAACGCTTCCAGTAAACGATACCCATATTTTCAGTAGACGATAAGTATTTTTTCTCGAAGTTCTGTAGAAAAATTTCAGCGAACAGCGGAGCTAAGGGAGACCCCATTGAAACTCCATCGATCTGATCATATAATTGTCCATTAAAGAGAAAATGAGATTTTTCTGTTGCTAAATCAAGTAACTCCTTCATATCTTCTCGACTAATCGTAGGAGGTTTAGCATGACCATCATATAAATGNTACCACCACCCACCCCTTTTCTCCCCCACCCCCCACCCACCCCCCAACCCCCCCCCCCCCCCCCCCCCCCCCCCACTCAAAAAAAGTCAATTTTCGTCAGAAATTTCGAAATTGAGATAAATGCATGGGAAGATAGCCCGTCTTCAGATCTTTCAGATATGATATGATTTTTTATCCAACACCCCATTTTTAGCTGAAAATGTTGATGATTTCTGTAATCAACTACTTGAAAAGCATGATTTTTCTTGTAAAGAAACATAGAGACCCTTTAACAAGTATTATGAAAAAAAAATTTATTTATAGATACTTTACAAAGATATATGACAGTGAGTGATTATTGTCTTCAAATATACCAAAAAACCGTATAAAAGAGCAAGAATATTGAGAAATTTCAGTTCAAAAAATGTTTTTTATTTTTTCTCGGTTTATGCCTTTTTGATCTTTTTACAAGGAATTCTCGGAGGATCTTCAATCAATATATGGAATTTTTTTTTGTTTGAAAGAGCACGTCGAGATGCAGGACACCACAGTATCATTTTCTTAATTAAGCTCTGCTTTTTATTATATTTACAGACACTTATGTAACTGGACACCCATGTTTGGCACCTTTTTTGAGTCATTGAACTTGTGAGCTCCTTTCTCCGCTAAAAAAAGTAAGAATTTAAAAAAAATACTCTATAGTGCCCCGTATCCTGACATGCTCTTTCTAACAAAAAAAAATAAACATATTGCATGAGTCTGGACCGAGAAATCTTTGTCGCAAAATGAGCTATTTTTGACCCTTGTTTAGTTCATATCTCTGTCAAGCATCATGATATCGAGCTGAAGATTTTATCACAGCCTCCTCACATCAGCCCCGACATATGCTCCAAATTTCAACCTATTTGAACGCATCTGGGCTGAGATCGGTTTTTGAGTGGGGGCGGGGGGGGGGAAGCGTTAAACCATCAATGTCGATAAGGAAACTAAGCATTTTGTAGGCTTGTTGAAAACAAGGCTCTTGATAATACAATGAAATCATTAATGCAGACAACATCGCTTTTTGACTAATTCGACGTTGATTGTTTTGCAGAAGTTTACTATATTCATTTGCATGAATCATTGTTTCAAACTGTTATTTTGTTGCCGTTGCCTTTCTTTCTGCGATTTCTTCATCAGTACCATTCTATTGATTGAACAACAAATGAGATGTTTATGTGTTATCTCTTTGTGAAAAAAATTTAATTTATTCTAGTCTTAGTTTGATATATACGAGAATGTGGGGTGTGGATGTGTGTGTGGGTGTAAGTTTGAGTCTCACATCCGAACCCACACCCTTTTCTTCGAGTCGAAATCGCGATTGTGGTAGCTCATACTCGCAGCATATAAACTTCGGACTGCAATTCGCAAGCTTTCTAAAACTAATGTAAATCTATATTTCGATCACATCTAGCGGTTATAAATTTGTCTCTTGTTTTGACTTATGCTTTTGCTGCGTGTTTTTGAGTAATCATGATCAACAAGCGGCTTATTTACCAAAGAGATAAGAAAAAGAAACAGAACGAGAACGAGAGCGAAAATGATGTGCTTTTATTATGTTGCCTTGCATATGTGTGTCTCACACCGATAATAAATCTTTTGATGAAATTTTATTATTTTAGAAGTAAATGTAAGTCGATAAGGAAGAACAAAAAAATTAATCATCACCTTAGAACATATTTAAAAAGAAGTCTTTATTGCTTGTAAATCAGAAGAAGGAAGTAAAAGTAACATGGCTTCGACTTCTGCGTCATCTCGTGCTCTAGTTCTTTTTCGTTCACGTAATTTCCAACGGTACTGGAATTCAGCTCAAGATCCATGATCTAGCATCAACGAAGAGTGGCAAAAATATAGAGACGTCGAAATTTATGGTGGATATATTGTGAATTTAGAACATCAAGTTCAATATAAGAAAAACGATGAAAACAGACAACGTCCTATAAAACGTGTTCAACTCGATAGAGATCGTAATAGTGTACATTTGAGGGAAGAAAGATTCTCATTACGAGTAACACGTTTTACAATGTCGTCTAACTCAGAGACACAATTTTCAAATTCTTCTGAGAATCGGCGGCGTTGGGAACACGTTTCATTCATATATGGAGAAGTCAAAAATTCTACAGGACAGAAAACAATTTCTGACACTATTGAAGAAGCTGTACACGAAATAGTTAAAGGAGGCATTGTTCTTGATAAAGAACATGAAGCTCGATGGTTAGCTGCAGGATTACCAAGTGTCAAGCATTATGCTAACAGTTCAACCCCATAGTATAACCTGCCATCGGGAATCGGAGACACTCATATCTATCTCTACACAAAAGAGTCCTTCTGGTATAAACTGATGAACCATATTCTTCGTGACCTTAAGACAATCACTCGTGAACAAGTAAAACTAGAGGACCGTTTTGCTATTTACTACATTGCTATCTAGACCAAACAACAGGGACGCCAGACTGTTTAGTTGTTTATCGTGCACTTTTCCTAACGAATGAGCAATGACAAGACTTTATGAAAGAAGATATAATCTTTACAGGTTTTACGTCGACGAGTAAAAACAGAGAGAAAGCAGAACAGTTCGGCGACTCACTGCTCATTATTGATCTTGAACGAACGCGCCGCGATAGGACTAATAGAGACAGGATTCATTGTGGAACAGATATGTCCAAGGTGCCTAATTTTTCAGACGAAGAAGCATTTCTAATATCGCCAGAGAGGAAATTTCATTTTGTCAAATATGAATATGATCGTGTGAAAAAGAAAAATATTTTTTATCTTAAAGCATCAATCTACAGTTAATTATCTGAATTTCTCTAGGTTACTAATCATAGATGATACGTTACAACATCATCGATGTAGAAAAATAGCTGTGTTCAAACTTCATGAAGTCGATCAGAGTTGCACTGTGTTTTTGAATATTTTCTGAAAATCCTTGTTAAAACTATCAATAAATTGACAGAGTATGCACAAAATGCTCAAAATCAATTGTTTCACTTGACGGGCAAGAATGGAAATATACTTAAGATAGTTTTAACAGCAGATATGAAATTCATTTTTGAGTAAGACAGTTTTATTTAGTCGACGTTTCAATGTTTCGTGCTCATTTTCAAGACAAATGTTACAAGAATGGGAAAAGATACAACATTGAGAGAATATACAACGCACAAATTAGACATGAAATAGAATAAAATTATGCAGACGTCTATTTATGAATATAGTTCTATCTCCATCACTTGTGATGATTAAAAAAGGATCTAGCTTTCGCACGGTCAATCGAGTCATAGATTCGAGCACCTTGCATGAAACAGGATTACCTTTGTTTAATGAGTACGGGAGAAGAAAAAGTAATTAAGTTGTTTCTGTTCTTCTTAATTAAAGAGAAGATCAAAGGAGTATCGTGATGCGAAAGTTCGTAAATTCTCTTCTTTTTGTTTTTATTGAAACATGAAGTCAGCATTCTCAAAATTATCGATACTAGTTCATTGTTCATCGTTGTAAAGTTTTGATGCTGCTTGATTAAAATATTCCTGTCACTTTGTAACCCATGAATGCTGGTGGGTGTGAGTGTGGATGTTGTTGGTAGAAAGGACAAACGCTTGACTCACACCCGCAACTACCCACACGCAAACACCCACACCCTAGTTTTTTTTGAAAATAAGCATGATTTTCGGTATCATCATGAATAGATACATCAGAAATTCAACATTTAATTGTGCAATACCTCTGATCAAATTGTTCGTCCTACTCCTGCTCAGCTTTTTTATTCGTAAAATTTTTGACTGTACCTCGTAAGCGTAAAATGATGAGGGTGGAGTGTATGGTTGTGGGTGTGCTTCTTAACTTTACCCACGCTCACATTCCAGTAAAACTTGGTTCGACTCAGTCTCTAGTGTGTTTCTCGCCGACGTCTTTTGAAAATCGTCGGTGGTCTGTTCTCACGTGAAGTTAACAGCTTCTCCTATTTTGGATTTGGATGTGGATGTGTAGGTTGAGACAAGATTCAGATCCGCATCCAGTACAACATCTACAGCTTCCATCACTTCTCCGTTGATTTTGAAAGCATTGATTTATACAATGTAGTGTAATAATAAATTATGAACATGCCTGTTGAGCCCCTTAATTAAGAATTAAAATCGTGTCGTCCTTTGAATTTTTTATCTTAAATGACACACTCACATTTTGTAAGATAAATTTACCCTTATGGAGAGGTTTCTCAACTTAGTCTCATTCAGATACTTTTTCATTTAATTTTGAAGTGACATTTTTTCAAAGAAAAAAATATTTGAGAATAAGCATATGACTATTTACCTATTACATCCATGATCATTATAGGAGGTCTTTAAAGATATAAGAAAAATCTGCCTTTTTCCTGTCTCAACAGTTTATTTTTTGCTCTAAAGTTACAATAATATGATGAAAAAGTATTCCAACATCATTAAAGATTCTACTACTGAAAATGAAGGTCACAGCTCTAAAGCTTCGTTTCCATATACAAGGTTCGAATATCATTCAAAAGAATTATCTTAAAGTTGGTAGATATGTAATGATTAAATTTAGATTTTATCTCACAACTCCATTGTTTGTTTTGCGTATCTGAGGTTCGTACTCTTTAGTTAGATTTATCCCATAATTGGTAATGGTGTATTTTTTGTGTCCGCACTTCATCTCATAATTCTGTAGTTTACTTTTCATCTCGAAAAAAGAATACTTTCAAGTGAAAATCTGTTCTAAGATTGTTAATAATCTATTTCTCGTAGTCAAAACGGAGCCCACATCTTTATGGCTTGCTCTATATTCATCAGGATCAAAGACATACACTCTAAAAAACATCGGTTTTTTACCGAACCCCCAAAAATGGTTCCGGAGATGTCTAACAGCGTCCAAAGATGTCCAAAGTCTCAAAAAAAGGATAAAAAAATCTACGAAACCTTTAAAGGTTCTTACCGTGTATTCAGGATAAGAACCTTTTTCTACGAAACCTTTTTCTGCTGTACGGAACTTAAAAAAAGGTTTCGCAGGAAAAGGTTCTTATCCTGAATACACGATAAGAACCTTTAAAGGTTTCGTAGATTTTCTTATCCTTTTTTTGAGACTTTGGACCTCTTTGGACGCTTTTAGACATCTCCGGAACCTTTTTTGGGGGTTCGGTAAAAAACCGATGTTTTTTTAGAGTGTACTTATTTAGAGAACGTGATTATTAGTACAACGAAAGAAAATAAGAATATAACTCACATGAATTGAATAAAAGATCAATCAGATTACTTTATTAAAACTCTGATAGTTATATCGGAAAAAAAATAATAGTATTTTATGGAAAATTCAACTTTTAAATGTCATACTATTCATGATTTTTTCTAAATTAATAATTGGTAATAATTGCGCACTTTATACATTTTTGAAAATGTTTGAGAAATAAGAATAACAGTAATACGAATATTAAGCACTTCATAAAAATATGAGGTAAAAAATATTCTTGAGAAAATAACAAATCCGAGAAATTTTATTGTATTAAATAATATAATTAAATTTTATATTACAAAATAATGTTATCGCATTTTTTATTTCCAAATAAGTATATTGAGAGAATTACCAGTTAGAATATACCTTTTTATTACTTATATATACTCTACAATGTTAAAGATGTATTATAATATTGCGGATCTTTGCACGGAATAGCATCAGTATTATTTGAGATATTTATTATGATTCCTGTGCAGTTTCGTTTGTGATGTGCTCTTTTCTTAGGATAAAAGTCATATTCACTGATGTTGCTTAAAACAAGTTTATTTATTATAAAAATTCATGGACAAATAATAAAATTATAAAATATATTAATAAGAACAGCTATATTATATTCAATTCACCACGTGATATTTCGGTATCTATACCAGATACCATCATCAGACGAATAGTTCGTGAATTATGTTGCTTCGTTGTTTTATGTGTCATCGTGTACTATGATGATTTCCGTAGTTTCGAAGAGTTTTTTCGCAAATCGCGGAAGCTTTAGTTAGTTTGTTGTAGTCGATGTTTTTTCACGAGTTGAATATTTGGTAAGTATTTTCTCGTAATGTGTTCATTTTCATCGTATGAAATGATCTCAGTTCGGAGATGCTCTTTTGGGTGAGTGTATTGAAGTTCTGGTATTATTTCTGGATGGGTAAAAAATTTTCATTCGAAAGTTGCATAGTTATATGTGATGAAGTAGGGATATTTGTGGTAGTCATGTAGAATAGACATATTGGTTGAGTGAGTCGTAGTGGTATGTGAATATTGTGTTGAGTTATAGATGGAAGCAGGCATTCTTTTCCTTACTCCTGATTTGTTATCTGGAGTACCGTATCAGAGACGGTACGTTGTGTTTTTTTTTTTTTTTTTTTCTTTCGATTCCATCAGCGTATATGTAGAGTGGTATTGATCTTATCCCCTTATTGAGTTCTGGTTTCTCTCGTTTAATTAATAGAGATTCTCTGATTGAAAGTTTTAGTTTAGATCTCTCTTTTAGTTGTATAACGAAGTCATTATTGGAAAATGTATGACCGGTTATATGGTAATGTTTAGCTATTGCTGTTTTTGGTACTGATTGTTGTTTTTTGTAGTATTTGTGGATTTTTCACGAGTTTTCGATATTTTCTTGAATGGATTGAAGTATTATGTTTGGTATTTTCCCAGTTTGTGACCTGGTTGTCGGTCCTTTACGTTCCATATGTGCTTTAATGGTTGATCTTGGTCGTTTTACGGTATGCTTCGATTTCTCAATTTTTTTTAAACATAAATGTTGCTTTTGATAGTTTAGATGTTCATGTACACGTGTTTTGAAATGACGAAAAGTTTTACCGATGTAACGAACTTCACATTGTGGACACGTGGCTTGATAAACAACCCCTGCTTCCATTTGATTGGGTATCTTATCTTTCAAGAGAAAACCACGTCCTAGGCGTTCTTTCACGTCATATACAAGTCTTATATGTTTAAGTGGATAATTCTTATTAGTAGCAGAAATAATACGTTCTGCGTACATTTGACTCAACTTTCCGAAATAAGGCACACGAAGTACAACAGTATCAGTAGTGGGTGATTTTGCTGATATAGGAGTAGTAGGATTGTATACAAGGTTAAGTTGACGTCTAATAATGGAATCGACGACGAAATTAGGATATCCGCTTCTAACTGCTTATGACCGAATGAATTCGAATTCCTTATGTAGAGCAGCATATGAAGAGCAGATCTTTATAGCTCTGTATGTCTTAGTCGATAATGAGTTGTACTTATAATTTTTCGGCACGAAACTATCCCATTTAGTGGTGAGAGTGGTAAATGTAGTTTTTCGGTAGACTTTGGTTTCGAAGCTTTTACCCGGTAGGCGTCGTACGAGAACATCGAGAAATGGTAGTACTTGTGGTATGAGGCTTTCTTTTTTATTATCGTTTTTCTCAGCATCTTTTTTATTCTTGCTGTCCTTGACTTCTGTTTCTTCGCCATCTTTTTTTTCTTCCTTTCTCATTTTGTTCTTGTTCTTTCTCTTTCTCTTTCTCTTTCGTTTTTTTTTCTCTTCATCTTCATCTTGTTTTTCTTTTTCCACAGTAAATTTAATCGATGAATGATACTGTGACAGAGCATAACAAACTTCGTCAACAGAAAGTTTCGAGTCGAGCAATACAAAAGTATCGTCCACGTATCGCTTCCAGTAAATGATACCCATATCTTCAGGAGACGATAAATATTTTTTCTCGAAGTTCTGCAGAAAAATTTCAGCGAAAAGTGGAGCTAAGGGAGATCCCATTGAAACCCCATCGATCTGATCATATAATTGTCCATTAAAGAGAAAATGAGATTTTTCTGTTGCTAAATCAAGTAGTTCCTTCATATCTGCTCGACCAATTGCTGGAGGTTTAGCATGACCATCATATAAGTGTTTGAGGATTATATCAATTGTTTCAGTAAGTGGTACATTTGTATAGAGACTCGCAATGTCAAAAGATACCATTTTGTAGCGAGACATATACTTTGGTAGTGCAAGTAATTGGTTAACAAAAGAAAACGAATCGCGAATCATATTTTTTTTCACCAGGAATTGTGATAATAACTGTGACAGAACTTTTCCCAGACCATAGTTAAATGTTTTAATAGCGGAAACAACCGGTCGAAGTGGAACATCTTCCTTGTGTACTTTCGGCAATCCATAAAGACGACCAGGAATAGAACCAAACGGCTTCGCCAAACTATAGAAATCTTTAGAAATACTACCTGCATCAAGTAATCGGTTCAACAATTTAATTAATTTCGTTTCTCTAGTAATTGTTGGATCATGTGATAAAAATGAAAATTTAGCTGTATCGTTGAGTAAACTATGCATTTTCGACAAATAATCTACTTTATCTAACAAGACAACACCTCTCCCTTTATCTGGACGAGTAACAACAATCGATTTATCGTTCTTCAAGTTCTGTAATAAACGACGATATCTTTGATGCTCAGTATTAATTCTATTCTGTAACTTTGCAAAGCGATAAGCGCGATGACGAAATGAATCAGTTATAGAACGAAAATTGCTTGCCAAAGTCATTTCTTTTGAATCGAGAATACGAACATTAGAACCATCAACTGTTTCTTTATCACTGACTTCTGACATCATCTTTCTATGATGTTGAGAAATATCAGTTACTCGCTGAAAGAAATTTTCAACGTTACTAACAATATTCATATCATCAATATTTTTAGGAACAAGACCATAATCCAATTCATGGGCAAGACATTCAGTTTCATCTTGTGACAATGTACGAGATGATAAATTTTTTACAACATTTCGATCAATACGTGGTATTCTTCTATGACTTGCACGAAATGAATTAATCTTCCTTTCCATGTTACGTTCTTTCAGATATAATACGGCACGTGAACGATTAATAATATACTTGGAAACCTGCTGAAATACGTTATCAGGTATATGTTTTTGTAATTCAACCAGATGATAAATGTAATTCTTTCTCAAAATACGTAGATTGCCGTATTTAAAACGAATTTCAGCTCGTAAAAGAAGTCTTTGACATTCTCTGTACTCACGAGACATCCCGAGTCTCTCATTTGCAGTTTTAAAAAACAAAAACCTAGGAATAACATCGTTCGATCGGCAGGACTTCAGAAACATCAAATCGAGTAGCAACGACTGATAGTGTTCATGAGCTTTTTTCGTAGAATCATATAACAGTACTATATTAGGACCATAATGGTAATTTAGGTAACCACCAACGCTCATACTATCAGTTAATGCCATCATCACCCCCAAAAATAAAAAAAAACTGTGAGCAGCTTCACTTACTCGAATCTTCCAATATCGGCAGTGCTCAAATACGAAGACAGTAAGTGCGATGAATTAGAGAAAAAAATTGAAGCTTTTACATTAAATACCATCAAAAGTGATAGCTAACACGAAGATCAAATGGAATGTTATTCTCTAATGCACACTAACTAGTAAAACATACCATCACAACAAAATACTAAAAACCATAATCATTAGCAGCACGCGCGAAAGAATATCCACAAGCACATAAAAGACCGAAAAAAAATGAGCTCAAATACACCTCATTTCACTGATCCATACATTCCAGTGCACATTTACTCGTACACCATCAGACAAAACAATCAATTTCCCCATGACTAACACATACTCTCCCTTCTTTCGGTATTGCGTAAAAATCAAAACATTTCCATTAAACTAAAAACATATTTATTATTTCGAAAGTAAACTCACCCTATTGTTCTTTTTAGAACGTCATTCCTAACACCACGATCCAGCTGCATCCAAAATTACTTTATATCAGTCCATCTCAATCTATAAATCATCCATACCACACTACGACAGAATAACAACCAAACCGAACCGAATATGCACACATCCAAGTGATACAACCAAACCTACCTGACTAGTCCTCTGTGCCAACCACTACAATCATTTAGGACCGAACGAATGTACTTCATAAAATGTATTTTTCTATTTCATAAATTTGAAAAATAAAAAAAAACACAACAGGCAGCTAAACTTAATCAATGATTATAACTTCCAGATCGTGATCTTCTGAAACGATTCTGACAGAATAAACCAGTTCTATCGGTTACGTCTGATGATGGTATCTGGTATAGATACCGAAATATCACGTGGTGAATTGAATATAATATAGCTGTTCTTATTAATATATTTTGTGATTTTTATATGTTATATGTAGGGTGTGAGTTTAAATTTAAAGCGAATTAACAAT